TGTGGACAGCATGGAGAGGGTCCAGAGGAGGGCCACTCGCATGATCAGGGGACAGCAGGGCAGGCCCTATGAGGAGAGGCTACGGGACCTGAACCTGTTCAGCCTCCAAAAGAGAAGGCTGAGGGGGGGATCTTGTGGCCTGTTACAAACTGGTCAGGGGGGATCAGCAGGCATTGGGGGAGTCACTGTTCCCCTGAGCACCGCCAGGAGTGACCAGGAATAACAGTCACAAGCTAGCAGAGGGTAGGTTTAGGTTAGACATCAGAAGGCGCTATTTCACAGTCAGGGCAGCTAGGGTCTGGAACCAATTTCCAAGGGAGGTGGTGCAGGCTCCTACCCTGGGGGTTTTTAAGAGGAGGCTAGATGAACACCTTGCTGGGGTCGTTTGACCCCGGTACTCTTTCCTGCCATGGCAGGGGGTCGGACTAGATGATCTGCTAAGGTCTCTTCCAACCCTAGAAACTATGAAACTCTTGTGATTCATTAGTGTTGTTCCGAGTAGAATCTGGTCTAATTAAGTCCGTTGGTCAACAGTTTTGTTTCTAAGTGAAGAGGAGACAAAGATGCAAATTTGTACAACTGTGACAAGATATAGAGCTTGGTTAAAATGAATATTGAAAACGTAGCTTGTGTTCAGGTTGCACCTCATTTAAAAGAATTGGTAATTTAGTGTTAGTTTTACAAATGTTCTGTATGTAAGTGTTTCTTGCTACCTCTATGTATGGCATTTTTATCCTCCCCCCACCCTCCCCAAAGTTTTGCTTTCATTTCAGAGGAGAGAAATGAAGCTTCTGGACTTTGAAAGCTCAGGTGCTTTTATCCGTTTCTTTTCTTGATAGATTTATGCCTAGAGTGGAGATAGTGCAGAAGCACAACACTGCAGCCAGAAGACTCTATATCCGAGGCCATAATGGAAAGATTTACCCGTATTTAGTGATGAATGACGCTTGCCTGACAGAGTCTCGTAGAGAAGAACGTGTATTACAGCTCCTTCGCCTTTTGAACCCCTGCTTAGAGAAAAGGAAAGAAACCACAAAGAGGCATTTATTTTTCACAGGTATGGTAAGAGGAAGTATTTAGATTATTGAGGAGGAGGGGGGGACTAAAGAGAATTAGTCCTTAAAGTTACTTGAGAAGATCTTCTGATAATTTAAACTAAAACTTTAAATCGGAGTACACCAGAGTAAATCCTACCCCCTTCCAGGTGATTAAAGGATCTCCTGGCTCTGAAACTCCACATCATAAAGAGGAAAAATATAGGAGGATGCACAGGGTCTGGGGGAAGGGCAGGGTTAGAGAAAGTTACAAATGCTTACTGTGTGGTATAATTTATCTGTCTTGAGTGGTGTCCGAGGCAGAGGCTGAGCTGCATGATGTGTTGCTGTGGAAATAAGTAGTCTTATCCCATGGCAGGTACTTAACAGATGATGATTTTTTTTTTTGGCTTGTGTTTGAAAATTTTCTCCCTCTCTTCTAGCTAGCCCATAGGAAAGCTTTTGCATCTGGAAGATAGCTCTTCTTGTAGAACTTTTAATTCTGTACATTCTTTCTAAATTTTCCCTATGAGGCCATTACTAAATAATTCTGACTTTTAATAATAAACCTACAGTATTGTGTAACATGGTGTATATATACACATGTATATGTATACAATTTTTTCATACATTATACTACCTAATTTGAGTTCAGTAAACTACATATGACACAGACCTGGTCTTGTGCTTCCTTCATGCATGCGTGTAAAGACCTTGCTTTTGTTACACTGCTAATTTTGGAAGATACCCGATGTCCATGCTACAGCCTAGAAATACTTGGACAGTGTAGAGCAAAGATGGGCAACCCCCAGCATGGATGCTAGAGCGTGGTGTTCAAAGGCATTTTGCTTGGCACATGCACCTCTGGATGGATGGTGGGAAAGGGGCTGGAGCTACACTGCCACAACAAGGATTGGGCCCCTCGTGATTCCCCTGCTGCCCACCCTTGGCATGCCAACATCTTACAAGTTGAGGTTGCGGGTGCTTTTGATACTCTGCCCAAAATGTTGTCAACCCCTGCTGTAGAGTTAAAGAACATAATGATCACAGCCTTGCCTCTCCTCTGTAAGATGTCCCTTTGCATGTGCAGCCTCACCTACCAGTTTGACTTTTAGATGCGTAACTATGGATCTTTTGCATGGCATGCAGAGTCTTAGTTCTTTCCCTGTGTCCACGTGCACATTTTTCTGCTTTCATGCTATGATTAACAATAATTTCAGTTGTCCTGATGCAGTTGCAGAAGATGCTTCTGTTGACACTGCCCAGATCTTTGCTTGGCAATGTAAATAAGAAGTCCAAGAAGTTAATTTTCGACATTTTCCAATTACTTAAATTGTTGGGAAGTTCCAGCTGCCAGCTAAACAACTTTGAATGAAAATAAACTGGAGATATCTTGGGATAACATGAAGCACTTAACAGTGGTGTGCAACTCCACTGACATACAGCTAGTTGGGGTGGAGGGTAGCAACTGAGTTGAGGACGAGGGAATGGTAAAGATGCCATCTCACGAACTTCTGTAGGATATTTTTAGGAGTGGTCTTCATATCATCTTCTCTTCTACATCCATAGATCCTTGTCTTTTTAACTATGTATATCTGATTTGCAGGTTTAACAATGGACTTGGTTAATTAGATGACATAAAGTGAACTTGCAAATAATTACAGGTTCAAAAGCAAGATGCATCTTAAAAAAAATAGCCCTTAATGTCCACAGAGAAGGACCCCATTCAAAATGTTCAGCCACAAAATGCTCATGGAAAAGGCACTGTGTTCATCAAATTAATTGAATAGGTAGATGTAGAAAGAAATGTATTTTCCAAAAAAGTAAATATCAATTGTTGGTCACAAATCAGGCAGAATATGTCGTACAATGTCCAGCTTCAGTTGGAGTCATTTAATGTAATAAAAAACAATTCTATCAACTAACTTAATATGATTAGTACTTAAAATTATTTTTTTCTTAAAACTACTGGAGAAACTTGCACTTTCTTAAAATTCCTTAGGGGAAGAACTATCTAGGGGTTATGTAGCGGAAGGCAAGTATGTCATGCTCAGCTGAAATAATTAAAAAGTCAGGAGATTAAAACTCCTTGAAAGATTTATTTGCTGATGGAAATGGAAACTAATCCTTAAATATCAGACAAAATATGATAAATGCAATGCAGTGTGATTTGGAAAAGGAACTAATCATAAACTATAATCTCTTTTTGAAAATTTTCCCCACACATTTTTCCTGTTGTATTGCGCCATACTACAGGATGTGTGCAGGCAGAAACTGAAGTCTTTCCCCTCAGAGACGAATTAAAGCAAAATGGAAGGATCAGTTCTTAGTGACATTTGTTTGCCTGATACAAAGTATGGATGTTTTTAAGTTATTGAACAAAAAAGGCTTCAAAAAGTTTAAATCAAGTCTTAGCATTTTTTTTATAATAAAAAATGAACAGAGGTTAATAATTCTTTTACTTTCATGACTGGCTGTGAAACAATCTACCCTGGTGATCAAAGGATCAAGATTGCATAATCTTAATGTCTCTGAAAAGCTAGTGGCAGAACTCTAAAACAAGTGCAGAAAGCAAAACCCAGAATCTGTGGATCAGCACCCGGGAGTGCTGAACATCATCTCAAAACCTAAGTATAGTAGTGTACATATCTGGCTGCATTGTGGTCAGAATTCCAAAAAATCCCTCAATTCCATTGCAAGCTGATGCAACTTAAGTTCCTAAATCACTTAGTGCTTTTGAAAATGTTACTTTCCATCTTTTCAGTTAAGTAAACAGCCTAATTGTAAAAGTCTCTTCCGTTATAAATGCTTGCAATGTTTTCCTCTCCAGTTGTGGTTCTCCTGAATGCTTTATTAAATATTAAGGGTTTTTGTTCAAATGTTGGAGGTTTTTTTTCTGTTGGAGGGGTACTAGAGTGATTTTAATTGGGTACTGTAAATATGTATTCAAAGCAGGTAAATTTCTATTTGAATAAAAATGCCACCTTTTCCAAACAAGATTCATAGTAGGAATCCTGAATCCCTTGGTGCTTTTGGTCTCTCTCTTTGTTTTTTTAAACTAATGCTATAACATGATTTTTCCCCACTTAAATACATCATGCAAAGAAATCTAGTAAAAATAACAAAAATGCAGCTTTCATCCTTTTTTAAACCAAGCTCTTGAGTGTGCTATGAGTGTAATAAAAATCTTCACTTGACACACTTCAGTTGATTATCACAGCAGTGGTTAAGGGCTTATACTTGCATGTTAATTCTTCAGATTGTTTTAGTGTTTTGGTTATGCATTAACCTTTTTTTCTTTTATTTTTTTTCCCATTTCCAAAATTATTTTTAGTCCCTCGTGTTGTAGCAGTCTCTCCACAGATGCGTCTGGTTGAAGACAATCCCTCTTCTCTTTCCCTGGTGGAGATATATAAGCAACGCTGTGCCAAGAAAGGCATTGAGCATGACAACCCTATTTCTCGTTACTATGACAGACTGGCAACAGTCCAAGCACGAGGGACTCAGGCTAGCCATCAGGTATTGAATATGTGATTTAATATTATTCAGGCTTACTTCTTAAGGACGCTGTGACACTGTGCTTTGCTTTCCTCTTTTGTATTTGCTACAAATATTGCATGTGTGTTATTAATTGTAAAAAATGTAGTCAAGCAACTCCTTCAGGGATTTTAGCTGTCAAAAAAGCCTCACCGCGTCTTCTGCTTATGCAGTTAATAAAGCTTTGCATGGTTGTGAAAAGGTATCAGTTGAAAACACTAGAAGCCAAGCTCCTGTTTCCACATAAATGGGTACAATATGGCAAATATGGTACAAGCTTCTTTGTGTTGTTCTACAAAGTGCCCAAATTTCTCAGCCAGCTTTGTTTTTTAGATGCAAAGGTATCAGTCGTCAGTTCTGACTTTTGAATGTGAATGTCTGCTCAGAGCACAGCTAAAACCATTTTATCAGACTTGAACGGAAACCATATTCCATTGTCATTGGCTTGGACCCCAATTCATGTTAGTACCCGGCAAGTGCAAGGCCCCTTATTCCACTGTAACCTCCATGAGGCATCAGACTTTGATAGTAGAGGGCATTTAATATTTCTTTTTAGCATGCACCATGCCATTCCTATGCCATTCTAATTGTTAAAATACACAATATGTTTGTCTGCTGAATGTTGTCTGCTGTAAACCAGTCTCTCAGCCTTTCTGTGTTACAAAATAAAATGAAGTGTTACATAACATCTGTTTCTATTTTGAGGATTGTACCTTGAGGTTATGAAACTTAGTCTTTTTAACAGTCATTTAATTGAAGCCAGGATGATTTTCATTCTCTTTTCCTTGTTGCACAGCAGATTCTAACTTTATTTCTTTTTCTAATTAATTAGGTTGGTATATGCTACAGTAATTAAATATGATGGGCTGTTTGTGGACTCTGGAACCCAGAAAAGGCTGAACTGCACAATGTACAGTTTCAGAAATAATTGCAAGCCTTTTCTCTGCTTTGGCAGTAGCGCTCTACCACCATGGAAGAGAATTCTTTGCCTCGGCTCTTTTATTCGACAGATTTCTCCCTGCCACTTATTTAGGAAAAACACCTTCCATTTTCTCTTACAAAGAAGCCCCTCTATAACCAGAGACAGACTGTTTTTTGTATTTGTCAAATGTTAAGTCCCTTGTTACAGTGATACCTGCCATCTGTAAATGGGGCCGTAAGTGAAGTCTACTATTTTTGGTCTTCACATAATTATTCTACAAAAAACACGTCCACATGTCTCTTGTCTCATCTATCTTTCATCATCAACCTGTTTGAACAACCTTTTCACTTTTTTCGTAAACTGTGGGGGCTAGATTCAAAATCCTTTGTAATGGGAGCTTCCAAAATGAACTTCTTGTACTAAGTTTCTAGACTACACGTAGTCTGAGGACCTTACCAGCTTTGGAGCCTTTGAAAATAACGGATGGAAGTGACAAATATACATATCAGGACCCTAGAAGGAAGGATTTTAATTAGTCTGCAAGGGGCTTTGGCAGCTTAGACTGAAGTCAGCCACCCTATTAGGTTTCTTAGTGCTTTTTTTCCCTCGGTAAATGAAACTCTGCAAGGAGTTTCTGATTGTGGGGGCGTGGGATGTTTAGTAGGATGAATTGGTGCTGGCTATAGAAATGAATGTGCAGCAGAACTTGATTTTGAAGATGGAGCTTGTAAAGTACTGCTCCATTAGTCTGCCATATGGAAGTGCAGTGGAGAGGTGTAGCAAATGTCAGTTTATTTTGCTTCTGGCTTGTTTGAGGGGCTTGCTAGAAGGTACAGTAATTGACTCATCATAACTGTGTAGTCTCTGGACTTCTGTCATCTCGAAGCAGCTTTCTGGCAGCAGCTCTGTCGACTCATATGACAATGAAACATTTTTTAAGATGGCTTTGGAATGACTTTGCTACTCTGTGGGATATACACTTTCAAAATTGGTAAATATGTTAACAAGAGGCAAGGATTTTGTAGGGCAGTATCTTTTACTGGACCACATATGTAGTTGGGATAGAGTTAGAGAAGCTTTCAAATGCAAGACGTTCTTTCTCAGGTCTTGCATTTGAAAGCTTCTCTCTGTATCGACTACATAGTTGGTCCAGTAGAAGATATCACTCTAAGAAATCCTTGCCTCTTGCATAATTTCTGGACCATCATGGCTACAACGTCACTTTTGTGCTACTGTAAGTATGTTCACCGGAGTCAAAAAACTACTAGAATAAAGACCTCTACTCAAGATGATCTCACCTGTAAGAGTGGCAGTAAGGAAAGAAAAGCTTGACAATACTAAGATTTAAAAATAATTTGTCATCATTGAATTTGTCTTGCTTTTAGGTTCTTCGTGATATACTGAAAGAAGTACAAAGTAATATGGTGCCACGCAGTATGCTTAAGGAGTGGGCTCTACATACATTCCCAAATGCCACAGATTACTGGACGTTTCGAAAGATGTTTACTATTCAGTTGGCATTGATTGGCTTTGCAGAGTTCATCTTTCACTTAAATAGGCTCAATCCTGAGATGTTACAGATTGCCCAGGTATATTTTATGCATTAAAGATGCACATTGTTATCTTCTCTGATTAAAACAAAGTTTTCTAATTTACCTTTAGAAATGAATATTGCATGCTAAATTGACAAGCATGAGCATAATCAAAAGCATTTCAGTAGGCCTGCCTTTTAAAAATGTGGTTATGCGCTGTATAAGCAGCAGTAAAAAATGGTAATTGTGCACACTTTACCCTCTGAAGTCTCAGATTTTGGAAGGAGACCTTACTCATTAAAAACAGTTTAGCAAACTCTAAAAACTTGCAGATGTTTGCGTCGACGTGTGGAAACTCCTTTCTTCACAAACAACTTCAAGTTTTTCTGTGTTAAATATCAAGCAGTTAAATTAATTAAAACAAAACAAAACTTGTTTTAGTGCTTCCAGTTCCCATGGGGTATATTTATTTTCTAATATTCTTCATTCTCACTTTCATTTATGGCATTGGTATCCAGTCAAAATACAGCTCCCATTGCCACTTTATTTTCTACTTGAAATAAGCATTTAAAAATCACGCTTGCCAACTTAGTGGAGCAAAGGTGGTATATATTAAAATCTTAATACAATTTTAATGCGTGGAGAGTTATACTCTGCACAGCAATTAAAAGATTCCTTAATCCCCACTATGTATCCATAACTTTCAGGTGCTTACCCGAGTGAACAATGGAGTACTTTATTCAGATGCAAGCAGAATGAAGATTTATCTTTCTGCCCCTAATCCCTCGCCCACTGCCACCACAAAAGACCCCATTCTTTAAGGTTGATATTCTGATACCATATATTTAGCATAGTTTCACTGCACATGTCGTGTGAGAGAATACTAGACATCCCAAATTCCAGACGGCCATTTTTTGTTAAAGTGGCAGCATCTGAATAAGTGGCATTTTAAAATAGGGTCTTTTATTCTTCCATATACAGCTTTTGCTGCATTTTGGTCATAATACTGAATCCAAGGGAAACAGTTGATGCATGTGGATTTAGCTTGAAGTATCACTTCCAGATAACTTTCTAATCTGGGTATTTAACACTAAACAAATGTCTGTCTTCCAATGGCTTCAGAAATAGATTTTCTGTCCCTTGTTGAAAGTTTCTTTCCTGTGTTTCACTTAAAACATCTAGGATACTGGGAAACTAAACGTAGCATACTTCCGATTTGATATTAATGATGCTACTGGAGATCTGGATGCCAATCGACCAGTCCCATTCCGTCTAACACCAAATATTTCTGAATTTCTTACTACTATTGGGGTCTCTGGACCATTGACTGCATCGATGATTGCAGTTGCTCGCTGCTTTGCACAGCCAAACTTCAAGGTATGTACAGTAGTTATTCTCAAACAGTGTCCACTGGTATGTTATAATTTCACTGTAATAAAAATGCTTTGTAGGTTGGTATGCATGGCTAAGGTAATTAGGTACTGAACTGAAGTATGTGAATGAACATTGATCAGTTTTAAGACATGATCACATAAGTGCCATTTATTTTGAATACAAGTTAAATGCTGACAAATCCACGCTAACTTTTTAAAACTTGCAACAGGAGCAATACATGAGTCAATTGAAATTGCTGCAGTTCACTTGCTGGAAGGAATACATACAATGAGAATAACATCATCCTAATTTGTACCAATTGTTTTATCATTCTAGCCTTAAATCTTTGCAGATCTAGCAGCAGTAGATAAAGTGCCAAATGCAGCATCATTTACATACTTCAGAATGTCGTGCACAGGAATACATCTTGGTACTTTCTTAGCAGAATAGGATGCTAACAATAAAGTAGTGTGCCTTGCTGCATTCTGGCTCTTAGCAGGCTGTAGTTTGCTAAGGAAATGGATAGTTTGCTTTTAAATTGTAATGCTCTATAAAATTGAACCACCTTGCACTACAGGCAGCAATTTCCACCAAACAAGCACTGCACAAAAAGTACTTAAGAAACTTTTTTCCAGTTGTGTTTTTAAAATTTATATTGACCAGAGATCCTGGTGTTGAAATTTGCCTTCTCCATGGAGCAGAAAGCAAGTGATACATGCTTTCTCCATAATTAAAATGCATCCTGATCAAATTACCTGCATCGTCTGCCTAAGTATACTTGGCCTATAATCTTTCAGATATGGCCTTTAATTTGGATGTTCATAGATATCCAGCTGGAAATAGGGCTGACTGCTGGGGGGCCACAGCTTCTATATCCCAGGCTTAATTCAAAATTTGGGTGCTCAGGACTTCCATTAAAAGTGAGCAGCTGGGAGCACAGGTCACTTAAGAAAATTTTGGTTGAAGATTTTAACTTTATATAAAAATTAAAGTTATTAGTATGTTTTACAGATGTCAATGAAACCTATAGACTGTGTGTGTGTGTATGTGTATTTTGAGAGTAACATAGGTTAAATTATTTAGTCATTACAGGCAAACGTTGAATTTTGAACTCCAAATCTCTAGGGTGTTTAGAAGGACTGGGATTTACAAGCAAGCGGTAATTCTTAGCATAAGAAGATCAAGACTGCTGGAATGTACGTTTCTATCAAGAAATCAACTGCCAAAACAAGAAAGAAAATAGGAAACTTTTTCTTGGGCATTTCTTTTTCACTCAGTAATGCCAAAACGGTCCTTAGGATATCAGCTGGCTTGAGCCTTCAGAATCCTGTTCATAAACTGTTTTGTTTTTTAAAAAACAAACCAAAAACTAAAACCTCTCAAAAAATAAATCAGGAAATTACAACGCTGGGGCAAGAACCACTAATTATGTTCAGCTGAAATATGCTGCATTTATTTAGGTAGAAAGGATGTGGGACCATGAATTCTTTTCCAAACTTTAGTGGTGAGATTTTAAAGCTGTCTGAACTCAATAACTTCAAGCTAACATAACATATAAATCATTCAACAAGTTATTTCCATTATAGGACAATGTTTTTCTTGCTCTAAACATAATGCTGCTGCTCAGCAAAAAATAGCATCTGTTGAAAAAGCATAATAAATATGCACTACAATGTAACTTAAATATGTAGTGCCCTGAGCTTCTTTTTCCTGCAAGTTTGTTGGTTTGTATGCGTGTTAGATGCATGTAGAATATACAAAATTCAAGTATGTTTATATCAGTTTGTATAGTTATATTGATATATTTTGTCTTGTCATTCAAATTAGTTCTCATTTCTGTAGGGGAACCTTCATTTTTATCCACTGGTTTTTAAAATAAAAATCTCTTTGGAGAAGAAATATTTTGTTTAACAATGTTTAGAAGGCTTACTGCGGTCCAGTCATTTCAAGGAGTTAGAATTAGAGAGGGAGCTAAAACGTCAAGATGCAATTTTATTGCAGTTTAGCTAAAAATCTATAATCCCTCGACAGTTCTTCTAGTTAAACATAATTATCTAATTCTCTTCTTCATGCAGGTTGATGGCATCCTGAAAACTGTGCTCCGGGATGAAATAATTGCTTGGCACAAGAAAACGCAAGAGGATACTTCCTCTCCACTCTCAGCAGCTGGACAACCAGAAAATATGGACAGTCAGCAGCTGGTTTCACTAGTTCAGAAAGCTGTTACTGCTATCATGACTCGACTTCATAATCTTGCTCAGTTTGAAGGAGGAGAAAGTAAAGTCAACACTCTAGTAGCAGCTGCAAATAGCCTGGATAATCTCTGTCGTATGGATCCTGCCTGGCATCCATGGTTGTAACTTGAAATTTAGCTAGCCTTTTTGCTGCTCTCTTGTCTTGTGAGCCATGTATTGTGTTGAGAAGAGAATGTGAAGAATTCATTTCAAACCGTGACTTACCTGTCACACTGCCTGTTGTCAGTCTTTATTTTAATCATGTTTACAGAAGTAGTACAATTTTACTGTTTTAATTTCTTGAAAGGGATTTTCATGTACAAAGAAATATGCTGTTTATAACGCAAAGGCAGTGTTACAAATAGCTTAAAACAAGAGGAGGAGACATGCATAGTGTACAGAAGAATCTTATTTTACGACGAGTGCTGTGATTCTGGCGCTGTTAGGTTATTAGGAATAGCAAATCCTAAATCAACAGTATGTAAACTTTTTATACGCTTTAAGAAATCAGTATTCCTAGTTCCTGAATTTTACTTGGTGACATTTTATTAAATCGCTGTCCTTCATTTGACTATAGTGAAGGCATGCATGGACTGTTTTAATTCTTTCAGAACTTTACATGAACTAAAGTGGTTTGTACAGAGATTTTTCTAACGAATGTATAGAAGTAATGTTTTTGCTAGGCCCTTAGTAACAATGATAAAAATTGTATTGGCTTTTCTTGGAGCACAATTTATGTACAGTAAAAAGTGCAAGTCAGTTTGCTTATTTGGCTTAGTAATTGACACTGTATTAAAAGGAATTTATAAAAAGGCAAGGAAAAATTTCTCCATTGATGCGTATGTTTGACAAACTGATTAGAAAAGCAAAGAGCTATCAAATGAACCTCTCCCAATTTTTTTGATGTTTAGCTTTCTGTTGCAGCAGGTTCTTCAGAATGAACCTGCTTTGGTTTATCTTTGTAATTTAAAAAAGATGAGTTTAATGTTTTATTTGAGTCTTTCTGTTGTGTTAGCATTTTTATAATCTTCAGTGTTGAGATTGTTGTACTTAAATTTGTACAGAGTGCTTTTTTTTTTTTTCAAAATAAATATTTTTAAAAATGCTTTCTGGTTTTAATTTCAGTTCAGTGTATTTTTAGGGTACGGTAAAATGAAACAAGTGAAAAAGGCTTAACAATGTGGG